AACCTTTTTTTCTATATCGCCCAGCCCTAATATATATATATGGAATTTAGAAGTAACAAGTATTATTAGAATGAGAACTAGTACATACAGAACTTAGATCTGATCCGATCCAGGTACTATGTCTGATTTTATTCAAATTCCATTGTTGAATTGTTATTTGTTTCTAACAGTTGCTAAACTTTTTTTTCAGATCCAGAGTGGTGATGGAGAAGTAAAACTGCTAAGGGAACACATTACAGAAAACATCGATGAACTTGTTGGGAGCTCTATATATGTATCTGTCAGTGTGTTGACTGAGAGTGGTAAGAGACACTGCATTTAGCTCTGAGAAATTTAAATCTCACAGGCTGAAAAGAAGAGACATTAAATGCATAGGAAATAGTAAAATTATTTCCAAAGAAATACTCATTTGTTGCCAATTGAGATGATTATAATTGGAGATTAATAAAACCCCCAAATTAAGTATGTCAGAAAATTAAATATTTCTCTCAACCAATACAAAAAAGGATTTCTACAAATGTCGGTGAACTAAAAAGTATGAACATGAAAAGTATAGGCATCAATACTTGTTTGAGGCTCCTTTTGCATGGATTACTGCAGCAATGCTGTATAGAATGGAGTCAATCAGTCTGTGGCACTGCTTAGGTGTTATTAGCCCCACAGGGCCCTGATAGAGCCCCACTCTCTGCCCTCCAGCTTGCTTTAATCTCCCACTGTCTTCTAATCCCTCACTGTTAGCTTCAAAGGCTGACCCTGGCACCCTACCGCCTCTGTCCCACTCTAGTGACCTCTCTCTGTTCGGCGTCTGCCACTTATCTTAGAATTTTGTCTTTGGTGCTCTGTTCTGGTTCTTGCTTGGACCTTTCTGATGCTTCTGACCGAACTCCAGAACACAACCTGACCTTACCACTTTTGTCTTAGTGATCATCCTCCAAAAAGGGATAGTTTCAGATCCTAGTCAGCCCAAAGCACGCAGGTAAGGGACCTTGATTAATCCAAAGCTCATAGACACCTTAGACAAAGCATCTGTGAAGGAGGTGGTGGACCCAGGAATGCTGGTGAAGCTGCTTGGTTTCCATTGCATTTAAAGTACTGTGACTTGCCATGTGAAATCCAGGTGTGTCACGCTGATTTGAAACCAACAAGCAGCATACAGTAGCACCCATTCAAAATAGCTCTTCCCAGTGAAATGCCAGCCGAACGGCAGCCCACTACCCTGCAACTCCCAGCAAAATCGTCTCTAACTTCAAGCCACTGGAGTGACCCCCTCCTTCTCCTGGATGTGCATATGTTTTTACTCTGACTCCACCCTGAATTACAGGGTCTGACCAGGAGAAGGTGCTTCTGTTTTGATGTTAATGTCCCCAAATCATGACAGAAAGAATATTTTAGTACAAAGATTGATGTTTTAAAGGGAATTGTAGGAGAACAGCAAAGGAATCAAAGAATGTGGGGAAATTTTGAATGGCTACTACTGTATAGAAGCTCATCTGATCTGAGATAACAGTTAAGCTATAGCAGTTGAGCTTGTTGTCTGCCATAGGAGTTACTGTTGCTGCCATGTGAATAGCTGGCAGTGGTCAGGCTAACAACGACACCTGAACATGGCTACGTTGTTACTGGAGGCATGTATGGTTTAAACACACCATTTAGAAAGCGAAGTTGCAGTCATTCTGGGCCCGCTGTCAATCAAAATACTCTGTCTTTTAAAACCGGACACCATTGCAAAAAGCAAAATACCTTCTATTACCAAATTTACATCTTTCTTTTGACTGTTCAATGTTTAAGTTACATTGAGTGATAAGTGAGATAACTG